TATATAATAAAAGGCTAATATACAAATTGTCCCCTCGACCGGAAGTTCAACCGGGAGTTCAACTGGGAGTTCGACCAGGGGGCAGGGCTAGCCTGTCAACTGCCGGCGGCCCCTCCCCCCTGCCAGCACTGCCCCCGATTGGCCCCCACATTGGGGCAGGGCCAGCCTGCCAACTGCCCATGGCCCCTCCCCCTGGCCAGCCTGGCCCAATCAGCCCTGATTGAGGTAGGCTGGCCGGACCCAACCCGTGCATTAATTTGTGTACCAGGCCTCTAGTATGAGATAATAAAGAACACTATTGCATCCTGGTGAACATATTGATATTTTTGTGTCCCCCATGTCATCTGATATTTTAAGAATTAATTCCCAATATTTGAAAATCTTACTGCTTTCATGAAGCATCCATAATTCTTCCATATAGTTTCAGGTATATTGCTCCAAATTTACCATACCTTGTATAGGATGATAGATTGTTTAAACACTGAATGATAAGATTTTTAAATTCTAGTAACTGTCTATAAATGTGTTGTCCAATAGCAACTAGACAGAGATGCACTTCCTCAGTTGCACTAGCTTACATCCCCTTGCTCAATAACTTGCATGGCTAGTGGCTACCACACTGTGCAGTCCAGTTACAGAAATTTCCATTGTCACAGAAAGTGGTAGTGGATGTGCTGGTCTCAATATTTGTATCTTAAATGCCTAGTGTCTTTAGCTGAAATATTTTTATCTTTCTACTCTTCCCATTCACCCCTATCTTAGATATTCCTCCTTATACTATAATTAGAGGCCCGGCACACGAAATTCGTGCATGAGTAGGGTCCCTAGGCCTGGTGTGCGATCAAGGCCATCTTCTCCAGCTGCCCGCAGCCAGCCCTGCCCCCCACCGCCACTCACCCTTGGTTCCCATTTGCCATTAGGTGATCGGTGCCTGACGGCTAGGGAAAAGGACCAAGAGGTGGTCAGTGTGCCTCATAGTGACTGGTCCAGTGGTCGTTCTGCCGTTAGGGTCAATTTGCATATTACCCTTTTATTATAGAGGATAGAGGCCTGGTGCATGGGTGGGGGCTGGCTAGCCTGTCCTGAAGGGGGCCCCAGATCAGGGTTGGGGGACCCACTGGGGAGTGAGGCCAGCTGGGGTGAGGGGCCATGGGGTTTGCAGGCTGGCCAAGTGCCCGATTGGGGTGGGATTCCCTGCTAGGGGGTCGGGCTGGCCTGGGTGAGGGGCCGCTGAGGGTTTGCAGGCTGGCCATGCCTCCAATCAGGGTGGGGGTCCTCAGTGGGGGGCGGGACCGGCCTGGGCTAGGGGCCACGGGAAGTTTGCAGGTCAGCCACACCCCCAGCTTTGTCAGGAAGGATGTCCGGAATGATGTCTGTGAGACATTAGGTCTATCCAGTCTAATTAGCATATTACACTTTTATTAGTATAGATAAGAGATTTTAATTGTTTTTGCCTTAAAAGCAGACTCATCTCCAAGGCCATGGTTTGAACATGCAGAAATGGCACATCGGATCCCCATCTGGAAGTTGGTGCAGTGCAGATCCAGCCATTTCTGAGAAACTGTCTGGGTTTGGAGTTACTCCCAGAACTCTGATGTAGCAGTTCCTGAGTTTATAGCAAGTCTGAGAGCAGCACAAATCTGCTTTGTATACACAAATAAACATGAGCATGCTGCATGCCATTCTCAGCCTGCCAGTTTCCTCTGGCTGTGCTAGGAAATGTACCTCAAAAGGCACTAGTTAACTTTCATGCAGGGAATGGCACACTCTGATTTTTGAAATGTTCTGGTTGAGTGGGAAAGAAGAGGATGAGTCTAAGGAAGGTTTTAAAGATTAAATATTTTCATTTTCAGACAAATTGCAGATACTGAATTCAAAAATTTCTACATCTTATCTTATGGGACTTCACACCAAGTAAAGTTTTTATGGCCAAGTTTAACTTAACATTGAAATAAAAGCCAATAAACTGTGTGGCTCAGTGGTTGAATGTCAACCCATGAACAAAGAGGTCACTGGTTCAATTCCTGGTCAGGGCACATGCCTGGGTTTCAGACTTGATCCTCAGTAAAGAGCATGCAGGAGCCAGCCAATAGATGACATTTCTCATCCATGTTTCTATCTCTCTATCCCTCTCCCTTCCTCTCTGTCTCAAAATCAATAGTTTTCACAATATTTTTATTCAACCGCATATACTCAAAACATTTAAAAACTAAGCAAAATAAGAGGGAAAAGTTTTCTTTGCCCAGCAGAGTTTCACTGGGATGTGTTGCTGTTGGCTCTAGAAAATACACATTAAATGTTACCTTATAGTTATATTGCACTGACAAATGTCTAAGTTCACATTTTCTCTTATTTTTATTTCTGCCAATTTGATAGGCTCTTTATGTGCCTCATACAACCTTAGAGAAGGTGATATAATTGTATTTTTAAAACACAGTTTTAGTGACCCAAAGGAGCGTCTTCCTAACTGCAGTATCGTTTTTTCTTTTTTTTGGCAGATGACATTTGACCCAGAAATCTTCTTCAATATCCTACTGCCACCAATTATATTTCATGCAGGATATAGCCTGAAGAAGGTAAGTTTATGGTGACTATTTTCTTTATCATCAAGGAGAGGATTTTATCAGCACTACTGAAAAAATAGTTATTTTATGGGTTTACCTATTTGGTAAGAATATCATTATCTTAGATTATGTTATATAGGTTAAAATCTGACATGCTTGGAATTCTTCTGAACTTGCTCTGGCCAACACACCGACCGTTAGCCACATGCAGCAACTAAGCCCTTGAAGTGTGCTAGTCGGAATGAAGATGTGCTTTAAGTGTAAAACATGCATTGGATTTCTCAGACCTAGTATTAAGAAAGAATGTAAAATATCTCAATAATGTTGTATATTTGATTTCATGTAGAAATGATGTTTGGGGTATATGGGGTTGAATAAAAATATTGTGAAAATTAATTTTGCTTTTTTAAAATGTATTTTAATGTAACTACTAGAGAAATTTAAATGATATACATGGTCCACATTATATTTCTATTGGACATTATTATTCTGTGGGTGTAATCAAGAGTAGGCAGTGAACTAGCATGGGGTTAGCCCGCAGAGTGAGAGCTCAGGAAAGCTGTGCTTGTGCTCTGCCCTTGGTGCTCCCAGAGTGGAGGCCCAGCCTCACAGCTGCAAGCACCTCAGCCATTACTCAGATGCAGCCTGGTGTGCAAGGCTGGCAGGGAAATGATCCATCCCTGTACCCAGAGTGAGGCTCTGGCCTCAGTTTGAGTGGCAGAGGCTATGAGTCTGCTTTTCTGCTGCCCTCCTGCCCAGATTCCTGGGCAGTGCCTGTGGGTCTGTGGGTTCCTATGCCAGATGCTGGGCTGCTTGCTCAGTGCAGACCTGATTTTCTTGTGGACTCTGGGCTCCCTCTTGCTGTCAGTTCTGGTTACTCAGGCCCCACTTCCAAACTGGAGGAGAGTTTTCCCAAGCAAGCCCTTGAAAAGATTTAAGAGGCTGATTTATTCAGGTCATTCTTCTTCACCCAGCCCCAATACTAGGGTGCCATTTTGTATGTCTTCAAAATAAATTTTTGTAGGTGATTAAAGTTTATTTCATAACATGTAAGCCAGAGATCTAATAATAAAAGTAAAAAGGCAACCGACTTAAATATTTTAGAATGGCATTTTTAAATGCTAAGTGGTTCCAGTGACAATAAGCTTCCTAAAAACTCTCTTGCCAGAGCCCTGCATGGACATTGCCCAGTCCCTTCCTTTCTCTTCACCTGCCAGGCCTGGGACTTGTTTCTGTCATCTCTACCCCATCACCTTCCAGATGTTTCCCCTACTTCTTTGAGAAACCTCTGTCCTTGCAGTGTAGATTAAGTAAGTCTTATTGTACAAGAAGGCCAGGAACTGGGGCTCCAACAACAAAACTTGCCTAAGCAGTGAGGAAAGGAGGAGGCAGTAAAATGCATGTTATTTTTATTTCCTGTTACACTAAGAAAAATGCTGACAGACAATAAAAATATATATTTTTCTCCCCAGAGACACTTTTTTCAAAACTTAGGATCTATTTTAACATATGCCTTCCTGGGAACTGCCATCTCCTGTATTGTCATAGGGTAAGTGACATTCAGGGCTTAAATTCCATGAGGCTGGTGGGCAGCTGATATCTGGGAGGAATATCACACTTCCTGGGCTCACAATGACTGGGTGAATTGTCTGTTTTTTTTTCAGTATATCACATTATTTTGCAAATTTTATGATTCAGTTCCAAGACTTTCACATCTTCTGACAAACACAAGGCTTCAAAATCAAAGCAAACTAAAATTGGGCTACTGGATTTTCTCTGTGAGCTTTGGACTTCTGACTCAGGGAATATGGATAACTTAGTTTGAATTGTGTGAAGCACATTGCTTTTTTCTTTTTTGCTTACATGACACAGATAAGCACACTACATTATTTTCACCTTTTTTGCATTGGCAGGGATACAATAGTAACAGTATGTTAGAGCAGAGGTTTTCTTTCTAAGAAGTTTACCAGAGAGCAGTTTGAGACAGATATCCTCAAATAGCAGCAGAGCTGTTAATGCTGGGATGGTTCTTTGTTGATGCACTGTAGCATGCAAACCTGTTTCTTTCTCATGATATGTTATTGGTTATATGTCTAAATCCCAAGTCTGTATAGACTCTGGCTTGCTGCTCATCATAAAGCAAAATGTGATACAAAATGTGATACAAAATGGTAAAGCCGATCTGATTCACTTATACTTTTATCCAATACATTAAAGGTCCACTGCAGAAAACACAGCCAGCTGTGGTGACTGATGGTGTGAATGCCTTTCATTGTCTATACAGCCAATGCGGCTCTTGAGTTTTACTGTGTACCCCTGTTATATCCTAACACAACAAACTGGGGCTAAGCACACATGGGCCACTTGTCCAGCCCTTCCCTTGTGAATTGTTAGTGTGTGTCACTGGAAGGCTATATATTTATCACTGCTTGTATCTGAAAGCAGGGGACGGGGGGGGGGGGGAGTTGAATTCTCTGTTAAATTTTTATTGATTCAAGCCTAAAAAAAATCTGGCTACATTGTATGAAAATGTCCAGCATGGTTAAAGTAGTGAGGAGCTAAAGATTTTAGCACCTGAAGGTGGAGGCTTGCAGGAGTGTGGGTTGGGAGCCTCACCCAGTCTGGGCACCTTAGTGCTTTTACACTGACTGTTTTTTACTGAGAGGCACCATGGATTTGGTCCCCCTCAAAGCATGTTCAGGGGAAGGCTTTTGGTTCTCTGGTTATGCTGTAGCTAAATATTCAAATTTCAAAGCTGGCAAGGGCCTTAGAAATTTGTGTCATTAAACCCCCTCATTCTGAAGATGAAGAAAGTAACATCTCAAAGGTTAATTAATCATCTTAATCATCACAGTAACATGGTCAGGGCAGAATTCAGACCCAGCAGGTCTTACCATCACCCCTTCTTCTTGTAGTTTCTCTTGAATTTTTACACATTGTTCCTACATATTGACAGAGGCTCTGAGAGGTGTGGACTCTCAACAAATGTTTGTCACTTTATAGCAAAGATTGATCTTTAACAGTTCTATAATATGAAGATCTGAAATTTATAATGGATTCAAATTCTAAGCTTGTGGACAATGCTGTCAACTTATCAATTTTCATTATTTCCCTGTTTTCTTTGTATAACTGATTTTAAGTACATTTAAGTATATACATTAATATAATATGCTTTGACTATCATGAAAATCTATAAATTTATTTTTTGAAGTGATACAATGTGTAATGTGTGTGGGGAAAATATAAGTGAATTGTTCTAAATAATTTCAGTTCAAGAGGTCTGGTGATATTCATTGGCTGGAGTTGAGAACCTCTTCTAATTGATTGTAAGGTTACAATCAATAACATATTGGAAAATGATTTGAATAACTTTTAGAACAGTGTTGCTTGGTTGAACTGAGCATAATCTGGACAATAAATGTCTATAGTGTGCCTTCTGAATGTGGTTTACCAAGTGCAGGAGGGATTGATTGGTAGTTTACAGATGTTTGGATCTTATCTGCAAATAAAGGAAACCATTGGCAAGCTTTAGCTTGAGGTTGCTGAGGTCTGATTTAAACTTTAGGAAGGTCATTCTGGTGCCTGTGTGAAGGAGAATTTTCAAGTGGAGAAAAGATGGCAGCCAGGGCACCATTTAAGCAGTGATTTCCATAGGCTGGGTTAGAGGTGGTGAGGGCCTGGCCACAGGCAGGGGCAGCAAAAGGTGTATGTGGTGTCAGCAACCAGTTGAAATCCTGAGAGAAAATGGGGTCATTCAGGGCAAGTGTGGAGTGAGAAGGGAAAGTACCTGGGCAACAATACTACTTAACGAAAGGGAAGAGGTGCCCACAAAAGACTAAGAAGTGTTGGGCCCAAGAAATGAGAAGCAAACATCCAGGGCTTATGCCTGGAAGGCAAGGGAAGAGGTAAAGGGCAGCAAACAGTGGCTAACGTGGGAGGTGGCAAGTGGAATAGGAGCTGGCATGTCCATTGCATTCACCCTAGGTGGTGATTGGTGGCAGGAATAAGGGGAAAATAATGGCAAGATTAATTGCTTTGGGTACCATATGTTGAGAAGCAAGAGTTCATAGTTATGCTATCTCCTGATACAATTTAAAAACTTCTGAAGGAAAGGGACAACCTTAAATTCAGACCAAACTGACACTTTCATAATTTGTAATACCTGTTTTATGAGTGATTGAAACTGCTACTCAAACCTTAGAAAATGACTGGTTATATTTTTCTGATACATTAATGCTAATAAAAACAACACAAACATTTATTGGGTACTTGATATGTACAATGGCTGTTTTAAAAGTAAAATTTAATTAACTTCATTTAATCTTTGAAATAATCCTTTCAAGTAGATGCTATTATTACCATCCTTTAACAGCTGAGATGCCTGAGGTTTAGAGAGAATAACATAATGTAAATAATGAAATAACATAATGTAAGTAATATAATAAATTGTTTGGTTCCACAGTCAACTTAATGCCCCAAATGTGCTTACTTCTATTTATTATTGGCCCTAAAAATAAAATATAATAAATTAAACTAAAAAATAAAATTGTATAAATCAGTCAGCATTTACTAACATGCCACATGTTTCTTCATTAGCCCTGTAGGAGTTCTCACAGAAATGAGAGATTTTTATTTGGAAATCCTATCCAAAAGGAATTCAGATTTCTAAGAAGGGATGTTTGGGTGTATGCAGATATACTCATAATGGCATGAAATGGGCAGGAGAACAGACTCAGGACTGTCAATGAGATGACTCTGAGAATAACTTTGCAGAGGAGGTAGAATGTGGGTGGGCATTTAGTGGAGAGTGATGAGGCAGTTGGGTTTTCCATGCCATCAGGTGCATTAGTGCTTGTGGGCGTGGTGAGCACTGTGCCAGGCTCCCAGTGGGGAGGAGGTCTCACAGGGCAGTGTAAGGGGCTGTGGGAACTGCAGTGCAGCAGTCAGTTGAAAGAGCTGTGAAGCTCAGCCTCTGAAACTCATGCGAATGTGAAGGCCATGAAGGGTTATGTGAATCATGAATGAAAAGAGCTAGTGTGCCATGGTCTTCTGCAGGTAAAGACTGTCTCTATTCACACTACAAGTTGGTTTTAAAGGTGATTCAAATGCTTCACAGGGACTGAGATCATTGGGTCCATTTAAATGAAAGAGTGCCTAATTAATTTTTGTTAACCTTATATCATTTCAGAAATTAGATACAAACAATCTTTTATATTGCATGGGAAAGTTTAACAATATCCCTTCTGACTATAAAATCAGAGAAACCTTTAAAAATTTTAAGGATGGACTGTTCTTAAAGAATTCAACCACCTTTTCTATTCCTCTCCTCCATTTTGCCACTTAGGAAATATCTTAGATACATCTCTGTTTTACATAAAGCCCATGTATTTGAAATATTTCCCTATTCATCTCTTCCATCTTTGGGAACTATTCCTTTATCCCTTATCCTGTGTCTCCAGCCATTTGTGCTGCTGGGATGTGTCATCATGCTTACGTCAGCATTCCATCTTGTCCCAAGAACTAATTAGTTATCAATGAAATGCTTCTTTTTTTAAAAAAAAAAAAAGCAATGAAAATATTTAAAAGAATTTCTGTTAATGAGGACTTTTTAAAAATGCCACAATTTCACAAATATTTGAAGCAAGGGACATGGATCTAAATGAAGAACAGGTGTTAAATTTAAAAATTTCTCATTTTATAAATCTCATCTCATATGCCAGACACTGACCTGTGCTTTTTATACACATTATCTGATTTTATCCTCACAATACTCTGTGAGATAGTACTATTTTTAGCTTTATTTTACATATAAGAATGCTGAGGTTGAGACTTGCTCAAAGTTACATAGTAAGTAACTGGTGATAAGATTAAAAATGGTGGTGGCATAAGTAGATGCTGAATGGACATGCTCCCAGGACCAAACTGGAATTGTAACTAAAATATTGAAAAACTTTCTGAATAATCAATGGAAGACTCACTGGAGAGAACTCTGATAACCAAGGACAAAAAGTGGAGACCACACAGAGACTCATAGGAAGGGTGGAGGTGCGAAAGGGCTGGCCAGACTCCCACAGACAGCAGCTGAAGTTCTGGAGAGATATCTCAGCTGTGGGGGAGGGGGGTTGCCACTGAGAACTCTGGAGTCTAATCCCCAAGCTAAGCCCCCCAGCAGAGAGCACCAGAACTGAAAAGGGTACCCACATAACATCTGGCTGTGAAAAGCAGCAGGGTTGCTGTCTGCCAGGGAAAGGCAGGTGGATTTCAGAGACCCTCTTAAAGGGCCAATGCACAAAATTTCCTGTGGAACCACAAACCTTGTGCTCTGGCAGAGGGAAGGCAGAGTGGACTGGAGCTGTGTGAGCAGAAGCCAGTATCAGGGGCTCTGGGTTTAGAGCTCAGAAGGCAGACACCCCGGTTTCCTGTGCTGAGTCATTCCCTCACACTGTGGAGGTCATCTTTCTCAGACAGACAATTACTATTCAGGCAGTTTTGTCTGAGGGACAGACAGCTGACCCTCCCTATTGGAAAACACCTTGCCTCATGGTGCGG